CACGCAAACTGAATACTGGATATATAATATTTGTATATATATATTATATACACATAGATATAAATATACTTTACTTTATATCCTGGTATGATCATTATTAATTTTGATGCCAATTAAGATACAAAGGACGCCATAGTAAACATTTATTAGTTTGAAGTAAGTAATTGTAAGTGTAGAAATTATGCCAGGCTTTATTGAATTGGGCAGATACCCAGGTCTCAGGATTTATGCATATTTCTATCGTACTAAGCTGTCCAGTAACAGGAATGCATTTAGACAGGACTTACCTGAACCCTACTGGCAGATCGAACAGTCTCCGGTGAATTTCTGGATCGTTAGAGAATCAACAGAAATAAATGTCCATAAACACAAATAAATAGTTCCATTTGCAGAATGCAGCACCCTCCTCTCTTCAAACGTTTGTTAAAATGAGCCCTTCTGCCCGGCTGTAGACTGTGCTACACAGATAGCTTTTACAACCTTTTATATGGCACATCATAAACTTGAAACGCTCAATGGGATTGCTCCGGAAATTCTACCTTAAAAAGATATAGCCCTCTCATCTGTTGTACAAAGCAGTTCCCACGCACTGATCTCTAAATTTCCAGCATATTTTCGCGGATTGTATTTTCTCAGACATTAGAAAACGTCTTATTCTGCCTATTCCTTAATTACAACATGCTGCCACCAACACGTGATAGAAATATGAAGTTTGCAGATGAAAAAAAAAATACATACCAAAGATCATAATTCACAGAATACCCATAATCGCATCGATATGAATAAAGACTCCCAGATAAAATAAAAGCAAGTCATTTTATAAAACTGCATGAATGCAGCCCATAGATGTTACATTTCTGCTTGTATGTGAAGTTATTAATTGTGGGAGGGGCTTAGTTGCCACACACATTTCCCTGAAGCAATACAGAACTGCAAAAATCGACACCAATAAATATAGAGTGTTTATTTATAATTTGGTGCAGTGTGAGGAGTTAATATCATGCAAAATGGAGTATTAGTTTTAATTTTTGGGGGTATGTACAGATGTAATGCTTGTAATCTTCTCAAATGTATCAAGCAAGAGCAACTGTGACTCTGTAAATATGAATTTAAAGACTAATTTCACTCCTTGCTGGATAGGTTTGAAAAATAGACTGAAAAAAATAAATAAAATGTGGTTTATATATCTATGTATCTATGTATATATTCACACACACACACACACACACACACACACACACACACACACACACACATATAGCACACTTTTTTCATATATAT